GGCTGGAAGAGGAAGCAGGTCCCTGAAATGTTGCTTGCAGGTAGCTGTTGCAGAAATTTTGTGACTAAGCTCTGAGAGGCTAATGCATTTTGCTGCCAATATAAGTAGTCATGAAATGCTTTTTTTTTTCCTTCAGGAATTTTGTGAATACTTTTATCCAGTTTAAGAAACCCATTATTGTAGCAGTAAATGGCCCAGCCATTGGACTTGGAGCATCCATACTGCCTCTCTGTGATGTGGTTTGGGCTAATGAGAAGGCTTGGTTTCAGACACCATACACTACTTTCGGACAGAGTCCGGATGGATGTTCATCCCTCACATTCCCTAGGATAATGGGCTTGGCTTCTGTAAGTAGCTTGCATGGGGATTTTTTAAATTTTTTAATTATTTGGTGTTTGATCCTATCATCTTACAGTGTTCTATGGACTGGATGTGTTTCATAAAGCTATTCCTAAGAAATAGATGCATTCCTAGCCTTTTCCATTCCAAAGGGTAGATTGTAATTAGGCCTACGTGTGTGCGGAAAAGGAGTAAGAGGGTATGTGGATTTCTCACCATTTTTCTCATACCCCTTTCCATACCTAGGTTATCACATGGGGGAGTTTATGCAGCAACCTTTCAAAGGGCATACCAAAAATTGCTCTCATCTGTACTCCCCACAGCACTCCAAAAGGCATCATGTTTAAATCAAGTACAAACGTATTGGAGTACTGCTCCTCCAGGCAACACCTATATTGGTTTACTTGCAGCATCCTTGCTTGCTATGGTAAAACGGGTGTGTTACATTGCAGGGCTTTTGTGGTTTTTTTCCTTTTGCCTGAAAAGACTCATCATACTTCCCCATTATGTTCCTTTCAAGTGATGTGCTATGCAGTAATTATTCTGGGTTTTGTCCCAGTTAATTGTGTGATGAAACATTTTTGTGTTTTGTCATTCATGAGTTTCCTGATACTACAGACCCTGAAGGTCCCTATCAGAGTTTAAAAAAAAACCCAAACAAAAAAACCCATACCCACATTACTAAAGCTGATCAAGCTGGCTGACTGATAAAGGCAGTCAGGCTGTTTGTAGTAGTATTTTTAATCAAGTGAAGAGACAGTTTAACAAAAACAAAAGGTTTAAAACATCATTTTATATTATTTTATTTGCATTATTTTTTCATGGTACATTCTTTCATACCACATATGCATCCACATCACATTCCAATATGAAACTGACTATTAGCAGTATGAAGCATATGTCATTAGTTGTATGATTTCCTCCCCCATCCCCCAAGCTATTATTCATTATAAAACTGCTTTTTCCTATAGGCATTTACTAATACATTTCATCACTGTAAAAGGATCTTTTAATTGCATGTGATTTGAACAGATCTTGTGGCTAATTAACGGATCTTTGTAGGATATATGGATACAGTTCTTAGAAAATCAATTGAAATTTGTTAGATTCATCATTCTGTTGTCTTGCTGTCTCTTCTCATTTTTAGAGTCTTCATACATGCTGCATATTCCAAATAAGTAATCATACCTTTCCATTTTTATTTGGTTTCTACATCTCTATGTACTCTGGCTATGAGAGACCTGGTGATTATTTTGTTTTAGTAAGTTTTGAGTTTGGACAGCCACTGCCTGTATGAAGTCTGACCTTTCATGTACCTTTTGCAAATGGATTTTTTTTTCCTTATACCAAAACTAAAGCCTGCATTCCTTCTCAGAAAATAACACAGACCTTATCTGGATTTGACAACCTAGGACATTTTTACCTGTGCTTTTGGATGCAGTGCCAGGCGCTTTAATTAGCAAGATGCACTAATTAAAAGCACCTGTGTTTCACATGTATCAATGTCACCACACATCCCCGTGCTGAAAAAATGGCAGCGGGGTGCTTTGAACTATAGCTCATCAGGCGTGTTTTATTTCAGAGCGCAGCACCGCCATTTTGTCAGTGTGGAGATGCACAGACATGCTGATACATGTGATGTGCAAGGCTGCCGGAGCACGTCAGTTTCCATGCTTCAGCAGACTCGATTAATTGAGTCTGCTCTGATGCACTGGATTTCCAGTATATTGGAGCAGGCTCTGTACATATGTGTAGGAGCCTCTAGAGATCATGATTTTTTTTCCATAAGAGATTCAGCATTTTTATGACAGTTAATCAGGAAATTTCTGTGTTCATTCACTAGACTCCATTATCCCTGATATTTCAATTTCATCAGGAGTTCAGGTACAACATGAAGACTTTTTCACATAATGTATAATTAAACTTGGAATTCACTGCTACATTAAATTCTTGAAAGTCCTTATAATGGATATTGGAAATATTCAGTTTTACAATTAGGTACAGTGAATATTTAAGAAGAGATATTACACATTGTGTTTCAGAATTTATGCTGCCTGTTAGGAATCATATTGAAATGTAAAGAAGAGAATGAGTTACTCTGTATAAGTCCATTGCAGGGTTCTTATACATACTGGTCACTGTTGGAGATGAGATGTTGAACTGTTGGTCTGATGCAATATGGAAATTCCTATATTATTTCAAAAAGTCACGTTGTTCCCTAGACTCATGCATGTCATTCATTGGGGGAGAGGTGATGCACTGACTTTTAAAAAGAATTTCCCAGAGAAAAAGAAGACAGAAAAATAAGCAAAAGAAAGTGGGAAAATGGACCAAATGGATACGGCAATTTTGAGAACGAGCAGAAAACAGAACAAACAGAGAAACTACAGCACTCATAAAATGTTAGAGAAACATTTTATCCCTTGTAATTGTACTGCTTACTATTATTTCTTTGGAAAATGGCCAATAGCTTTTAATTTCACAAGTGGTAATAGTAGAATATTATTGATAGTGGCACTTCAGTCAAATTGAAGTTAACATTTTGGCATACTGTAACTAGGTTGAAGAACTAAAAGCTGTTGTGGCAAAGTATTACCTTTCAGAACCTATTAACCCATAACAGTAATGAGGACTCTTGCTTCATTTAGGTGTTTGAGGCTTTGCTGTTTTAAAACTTGGAAATGGGATTGAACGTGACCAAAATAATTCCATTACAGTTCTTTGAAAAATTTCTGATTCAGAGACCTCAACCAAATCTATTGAATTCTGAAGAAATAAGCAAGCTCTCTGTCATCCAGACACTCTCATCCCACAGTTATTGCATGTGATAAATATGCAGAGTTAATTTGTTGGCTTAAGTCTATGCTTTGTAAACTCCTGCACAGATTGATTTGACCTTTTGAGACTAAAAATATTGGTAAATTCTTTGCTTCAAAGGTACACAAAGGCTATAAACAGACATTGCCAAATGAAGCAAATCAGCTGTGCCAGGATATGTTGTAGCACAGATGATCTGCTTCATTGGGCAAAACAGATGTTGACCGTTGCCTTGCAGGCTCCAGGCCCTTGCTACTCCTAGGAGCTGCAGGGGCCTAATCCTGCAGGACAACACTTGTGGTGCACCTTTGCAAACAGGGGTAACCCAAGAAGGTGCTCCTGGGGCTTCAGGAGAATTTCTGGGGCATGTAGGATTGGGCCCCTAAAGCCCTTGAAGGGCCTGTTGGGGGCGGATGGAGCATGTGGGTAGCTCCAGGCAGGCCATGCTCTGTGCCTGAAAGCAGATAGATATCTGCAGTATTAATACTACCAATTATCTCAGACACAAATGTGGGCATTTATAGTGAAAAAAAGAGCATAAACGTCTGCTTTCACTTTGTGTTTCCATAAAATAATTTATGGTAGCACAAAAGCAACATCTGCTTGCAGCCCAGTCAAATCATGTGGAGGTTTGAGTTCACCTGGAGCTGTGTTTTGCTAAAATCAAAAGGAGTGTTTGTTCTTGAACTTTTGTTCATCTATTTCAGGGGCTATCAACCAGAGGTATGCGTACCCCCAGGGATACTTAGAAAGGACATAGGGGGTACGCATGGGTGGGCAGGCAGGCAGGGATGGAGCACGCCCCAGGATGCAGCAGTAGCATCTCCCTGGTGCCTTCCCATACTTTGTTCCTTACCTGGGGGGGGTATACTGGATGCTGCCTGCCCCACACAACACACTGCAGCGCCTCCCCGCCCCCCACCTCAACTCATTCTCTGTGCCGACTCCCAAGAGCAGGGCCAGGAGGGCAAGGGTAATGGTGCCCCTCTGTAGGCCACACACATGCCAGCCAGGGGGGCGAAGGGGGGCTCACATGCAGCGGCCACCACCACCCCACATAGCCATTGCTGCACCCTGTGCTGCTTTCCCGTGGGTGGTCACACATGCAGCTCTGCAGACTGCCAGTGCACGTCGTGCGCTGCCTGTCAGCAGCCCGTGAAGCCGCACATGTGGCCATGGGAAAGCAGCATGGGGTGCAGCAGCAGCGGTGCAGGGCAGTGGTGACCGCTGTATACAAGCCTTGCCCTGTCTGGCCGGCCAGGCAGTGTGTATACAGCCCAAAAAGGGGCACCACTGCCCTTGTTACCCCCTCCCCTTTCCTGGGAGTGGCTACAGAGATGCATTCCCCTGCCCATTCTTAATCTGGCTCCCCCCAGCCACTTCCCTCTCTCCTGCCCTGCCTCTTCCCCCCACACACACCTGCTGGTCTGTGTCTGCGTGTCTGTCCCCTGCCTGCCCAGCCACAGCAGGTACATGGCATCACATGGCTCTTGGGGTCCTGGGGTGCAGAGTCCAGCCTACAGCAGCAGCTGTCTCTGCCTCACGCACAGATCTGGGGGACACATGCCCCCTGGACCTCCACTGGGGTGCATGCAGCAGCAGGAACTGCCCCCCCCCCGACAAACCACTCTCACGGTTCCGTCCCACACTCCACCCTGGCTGTTCAGCCCCTGCCCCACTCTCTCCCTCACCACAGGGGCCTTGATCTGC